CCAAAGAAATAATCTACAGAAACAGAGACTGAATAGGTATTACGATGACATTAAATTCATATCTTTCAATAGTAACTCTGAACGTGAATAGGCTTAATGATCTCATCAAAAGGTGCAGGGTTTTGAACTGAATAAAAAAGCAAGACCCATCTATTTGCTGTCTACAAGAGAATCATCTGAGACCTAAGGACAACTACAGCCTGAAAATGAAAGGTTATAGAACCATTTATCATTCAAATGGTCCTCAAAAGAAAGCTGGGGTAGCAGTCCTCATATCAGATATTAAAGTTTGTCCCAAAGACTGTAGTAAGAGATGAAGAGGGACACTATATCATACTCAAAGGGTCTATCCAACAAGAAGACCTAATAATCATGAATATTTATGCCCCTAATGTGGGAGCTGCCAAGTGTATCAATCAATTAATAAACAAAGTTAAGACATACTTAGATAATAATACACTAATAGTAGGAGACTTCAACACGGCCCTTTCTGCAAATGACAGATATTCTAAGCACAACATCAGCAAAGAAACAAGAGCTTTGTTTTTTTTTTAAGATTTTATTTATTTATTCATGAGACACACACACACATACAGAGAGAGAGAGAGAGAGAGGCAGAGACACAGGCAGAGGGAGAAGCAGGTCCCACGCAGGGAGACTGACATGGGACTCGATCCAGGGTCTCCAGGATCACACCCTGAGCTGAAGGTTGTGCTAAACTGCTGAGCCACCCAGAATGCCCGAAACAAGAGCTTTAAATGATACACTGGACCAGATGGATTTCACAGAAATTTACAGAACTTTGCATCCAAACGCAACTGAATACACATTCTTCTCAAGCACACATGGAACTTTCTCCAGAATAGACCACATAATGGGTCACAAATCAGGTCTCAACTGATACCAAAAGATTGGTATTGTCCCCTGCATATTTTTAGAACATAATGCTTTGAAACTAGAACTCAATCACAGGAAGAAATTTGGAAAAACACATGGAGGTTAAAGAGCATCCTGCTTTGGTTAATGGGTAATTAAAAGGAAATAAGAGAAGAATTGGAAAAAATTCATGGAAACTATAAAGGGCTAGTTTCAAATCTATAAAGAACTTATTAAACTCAACTGCAAAGAAACAAACAATCCAGTCATGAAATGGGCAAAAGACATGAACAGAAATCTCACAGAGGAAGACATAGACAAGGCCAACATGCACATGAGAAAATGCTCCGCATCACTTGCCATCAGGGAAATACAAATCAAAACCACAATGAGATACCACCTCACACCAGTGAGAATGGGGGGAATTAACAAGGCAGGAAACCAAAAATGTTGGAGAGGATGCAGAGAAAAGGGAACCCTCTTACACTATTGGTGGGAATGTGTACTGGTGCAGCCACTCTGGAAAACTGTGTGGAGGTTCCTCAAAGAGTTAAAAATAGATCTGCCCTACGACCCAGCAATTGTACTGCTGGGGATTTACCCCAATGATACAGATGCCGTGAAACGCCGGGACACCTGCACCCCGATGTTTCTAGCAGCAATGTCCACAATAGCCAAACTGTGGAAGGAGCCTCGGTGTCCATCAAAAGATGAATGGAAAAAAAAAGAAAAATGAATGGATAAAGAAGATGTGGTTTATGTATACAATGGAATATTACTCAGCCATTAGAAACGACAGATACCCACCATTTGCTTCAACGTGGATGGAACTGGAGGGTATTATGCTGAGTGAAGTAAGTCAATCGGAAAAAGACAAACAGTGTATGTTCTCATTCATTTGGGGAATATGAATAATAGTGAAAGGGAATATAAGGGAAGGGAGAAGAAATGTGTGGGAAATATCAGAAAGGGAGACAGAACATAAAGACTCCTAACTCTGGGAAACGAACTAGGGGTGGTGGAAGGGGAGGAGGGCAGGGGGTGGGAGTGAATGGGTGACGGGCACTGAGGGGGACACTTGACGGGATGAGCACTGGGTGTTATTCTGTATGTTGGTAAATTGAACACCAATAAAAATTAATTTATTAAAAAAAAAAGAAACGACAGATACCCACCATTTGCTTCGATGTGGATGGAACTGGAGGGTATTATGCTGAGTGAAATGAGTCAATAGGAGAAGGACAAACATTATATGGTCTCATTCATTTGGGGAATATAAAAAATAGTGAAAGGGAATAAAGGGGAAAGGAGAAAAAATAAATGGGAAATATCAGAAAGGGGGACAGAGCTTGAAAGACTCCTAACTCTGGGAAACGAACTAGGGGTGGTGGAAGGGGAGGTGGGCGGGGGGTGGGGGGTGACTGGGTGGCGGGCACTGAGGTGGGCACTTGACGGGATGAGCACTGGGTGTTATTCTGTATGTTAACAAATTGAACACCGATAAAAATAAATTTATTTTTTAAAAAAAGATTCATGGAAACTAATGAAAATGAAAATGCAACCACTCAAAATCTTTGGGATACAGCAAAAGGAGTCCTAAGAGGGAAATACCTCGCAATACAAGCATCCCTCACAAAACTGGAAAAAACTCAAATACACTAGCAAACCTCGCACCCAAAGGAACTGAAAGAACAGCAAATAAAACTTACACCAAACATAAGAAGAGAGTTAATAAAACTGAGTTAGAGGTGTCTTCAAGATATAGGAAATAAGAAGCTATAAATACTCATCTAGATCTCAGAGATCAAATGGAGAAATATATATTGTTGTCATTTGTATCTAAGTGGTAACTGAACCTAAAAAATAGATGCTATTGTCTAGGTGGAAAGAACCTAGTGAGAACTGAAGTCATTCTGGAACTGATCTATTGGATGGAGCCATAAACGGAACAAAGAGGTAAAAGGTAGGGAGAATGGAAGAAAGACATAGAAATAAATGTATGTGAGTAGAATCTAGAGGAGATAATGATGGAGTGTTTCCTCAGAAAAGATGAGGGCAGGGGATCCCTGGGTGGCTCAGCGGTTTAGCGCCTGCCTTTGGCCCGGGGAGCCATCCTGGATTCCCGGGATGGAGTCCCGCATCAGGCTCCCTGGGTGGAGCCTGCTTCTCCCTCTGCCTGTGTCTCTGGGTCTCTCTCTCTCTCTCTCTCTCTCTCTGTGTGTGTGTGTGTGTGTGTGTGTGTGTGTGTGTGTGAGAGAGAGAGAGAGATGGATAAATAAATAAAATATTTTTTAAAAAAAGAAAAGAAAAGATTAATATTGTCCCAAGTTTCTGAGAAAACTTTTTAGGAACATGGAGATCATTGTAGATCTAAGACATGTTTGTTTGGGTGGCATGATAGGGTAAAGAAACCATATTTGCAAGAGGTGCAGGAGGAGGAAGTGAGTATAAGGCAAGGAAATGGAGACAGAGAAAGAAGTCAACTCTTGGCTGATAGCTAAAAAGGGAACAAGTAGTACATGATTTTAAGATGGGACAGAACCAAACATGTTTGCAGAACTGTGAAAGAATACTTTAAGACTGTGACATAAGGAGAGCAAGAGAGAGGGAGAATGTGTGAACAATAACTTAAAGATAATTACCTTTAAGCCATGAAGAATGGGATTAAAGAGTAGGTGGAAGCACTCGACGTAGAGGTGGAGAGAAATTGCACCAATGATAAGGGACTGTGGACAGGATGCATGCTGATGTTTGGTTGGTATGGCCAACGACATAGATTTCACCGGGTGTCATCAGATGACTCTGAATTCTCTATGAAATAGGTGGTAAGACATTTACTGAGGAAGGGGGAGGAGACAGAAGATTCAGCGGCAGAACCAGTGCCAGTGGAGGCTGGGAGAACAAGGTAATGAGAGAAATACAGGAAGACTTCCTGGCAGGAGAGTAGGTTCCTTTAGATGGGAAGGGAGACTCATGGGAATCTTTTACAGACAATAGAAGAGTTTAGAAACAATAGGTAAATACTCAGTTAAATCTAAACTAGTAAGTGTTGGTTCCTAATAACCATAGCCATGAATTATCCTATGGTATTATTGTTTATCTTCCTGCTTTCCTGGTGGTTACAGGAGTACTGAAAATATCAAGCTCTCTGACAAGATTCCAAAATGCCAGATAACACTTATTTCTGTTTAATTTATAAATATGTACATCAACTTCCCCCATGCTTGCCTTTATGTGACTTGCTGCTCAGGGAGATATAGGTGGAGGTAGAGAAAAAGGATAGGATAACATGGCTTTAAGTAGAATGTGCGTCACTGCTTCAGATCACTGAGTCTTGTTTACCGAGTGGGCATGTCTGGCATACAGCAAGTGCTTCATTAGAGTGTTGATGTGTAAGTGTTAACATGAACACAGCTCCTAAGAACAAAATATATTCTAAACCCTTTATTTTTTTAATTTTAATCTTTTTAAATTTATTAAGACTAGCTTGTGGTCCAAAATATAATCAATCCTTTTTTTATCTTTTTTTAAATTTTTTATTGGAGTTCAATTTGCTAACATATAGCATAACACCCAGTGCTCATCCCGCCAAGTGCCTCCCTCAGTGCCCATCACCCAGGCACCCCAACCCCCTGCCCACTTCCCCTTCCACTACCTCTTGTTCATTTCCCAGAGTTAAGTGTCTCTCATGTTTTGTCACCCTCACTGATATTTTCACTCATTTTCTCTCCTTTCCCTTTATTCCCCTTCACTAATTTTTATATTCCCCAAATGAATGACACCATATAATGTTTGTCCTTCTCCAATTGACTTATTTCACTCAGCATAATACCCTCGAGTTCCATCCACGTCGAAGCAAATAGTGGGTATTTGTCTAAAACAACCCTTTAAAAATAGGTCATTGTTAACAGTTTATGAGTCACTATATGTTGGCTAATTGAATTCAAATTAAAAAGCAATAAATAAAAATTTTTAAAAATAGTTAATGAGTCAAAAACAAAGTAAGTGAGAGCACTCTGAGGCATATTTTGCTGCACACTAACATTGCTAAATGGAGTGAGCATATGGTACTCAAGCAGATCACTTAATGAAGTGCTCTGGGAGCAATGCCTGATCTTACTTACCATCATGGCTTTGTTGACATCAGACATGGCCCTGCTGGAAAGTGTGTATTTCTCTGACTCAGCTCTTGTTTTCCTGATTCCTTTGAACCATTTTCCATATTCCTCCCTCACCTGCAGAGGCAAAGTATGCTCTGGATCAGTTCACTGAGATGAGTGAGGATAGGAAGCATCCCAGGTGGGAGCTGGGCAGTAGTACCTGCTGGCTGAGGAGGCAGTACACCAGGAAGATGAAGACACCCTGCAGGCTGTTGATGATAGTGAACAGGTAAGCCATGACGTGGGCAGCTGGACCCACCTGCAGGATGCCCAGGCACCACGTGCAGCCCAGGATGAAGAGCTGAGCTGTGGCTTTAAATGTCAGCATCCTGGGTAGGAAGAGAAAGAAGACTAATGATTCACCCAGGGCAACACAATGAAAGCCATTTCTCACCTCTTTAGTCCATTGATGCTTCGTCTTCCCCTGCTGGTGATGAGTTCTCTGACTGGTGATCAGCTTGAAATTTATTATCAATGATTTCCTATAAAACATACCACTTTGACAAGGATGGCATTTTGATTTGGATTGGGAGGATAGGGACATTTCCTAAAGTAATTTTCAAAGGTTTTATGATGCTATATAGAGATCCTGAATTTCATCCAACACTATGGAGAAGGCATTTTGCATCAGGTTCTGTGCTGGGACCTGGGCATTAAAAATAACAAAGGCAATATTTCTATTTTCATTTGGAAAGGATAATGATAGGAAAATGAAAGAACAACATTAAATTTGCACAAACGTTGCTGGAGCAAAGGACTGCCCAAGCCTCCCAGAAGATTTGACATGGAATAGGATTTTCCCCAGAGAGAGGAATGGAAGAGGGGTCAGTAGGAGCCTGAATCAAGGGTGGGGTGTGGAAGTGTAAACTAGGATGTGGGATTAGTCACAGGCTTTTCTAAGTGCTTCATAGAAAAATAAATGGTCTCTGCACGTTAGTCATAGGACTGATGGCAAAAGTAGGACTGATGGCAAAAGTCCAAAGAATGTTTGTTAACAAATGCCAATTCTTCCTGTTTCTGAGGGAGTCACAAACTGGGGTTAGAAATAGAACAGAGGCAACTTGGTGGCTCAGTCACTTACATGTCTGACTCTTGATTTCAGCTAGATCATGATCTTAGGGTCTTGGGATGGATCCCCAAGTCAGGCTTCCCACTGAATGTGGAGCCTGCAAAAGATTCTCCCCCTCCCTTTCCCTCTTCTATCCCCTCCACCTCTCTCTCTCTCTCTCTCTCTCTCTCTCTCTCAAGAAAAGAAAAAGCATAGCACATTTGCCCAGGTTGTCAGCATCACACCAGTGAATCTGAGCTATCTTCCATAGAAGAATAGCTTCATCTCTCTACTCAGGTCCCCTCAGAAGACCCCGAGAAGAAGCATCAGGGACTGCTGAGGTACACAGCTTTGCCCTTAGGATCACACGTGTCTGTTGGGTTGTCACTCTTTTCTTCATCTTACCTTGTGTTCTGGAGGGTGGATACATCACTGTTGAGGGAAGACAGTTTGCTTTTCAAAATCCAGAGGGTCATCAGAAAGAAACCTAAATTGACCTTCAGAAAACCACAGACGGTTTACTGAATAAAATTTCGATCTGTTCTCTGCATCCTAGCCTGTCCAACATCAGTTCCATATTTAAGTCATTTTCATATTAACTATCAATGGTAGAGTTTGTAGTTTTAAGAATAGTCTTAGAAAACTAAACAAATCCAGTGACATGCCTGCCTCTGTCACCCTCCCTTAAAATTCTGCTCCTCTAATGACCCCCAGCTGAGCATTAAGGATGCTTTGATGTCATCACTCACAGAGAAGATGGTGCAGACTGGCCCAAGGAAGCTCCATATAAATCTCTCTTCTGGGTTGAGCCAGCAGCTGAGCAAGAGAACACAAAAATGCATTGGTCCTTAGGAATATAGAACTATCATGTAAATTCATTCACTCACCAACATTCATTCATTCATCAACAAATACTGAGTGACTCTTTTGTGACAGGCTCTGTGGTTAGCTCTGAAGATACATGATAAAGAAAGTAAATACGGTCTTAAAACCCACAAATCTCACATGGAGCAGAGACACATAATTTGACATACTGCAACAATAAAACAAAAATGTGAGGATGTAATGTCCACAATAGCCAAACTGTGGAAGGAACCTCAGTGTCCATCGAAAGATGAATGGATAAAGAAGATGTGGTTTATGTATACAATGAAATATTACTCAGCCATTAGAAACAACAAATACCCACCATTTGCTTCAACATGGATGGAACTGGAGGGTATTTTGCTGAGTGAAATAAGTCAGTCAGAGAAGGACAAACATTATATGGTCTCATTCATTTGGGGAATATAAAAAATAGTGAAAGGGAAAAATAGTGAAAGGGAAGGGAGAAGAAATGGGTAGGAAATATCAGAAAGGGAGACAGAACATAAAGACTCCTAACTCTGGGAAACGAACTAGGGATGGTGGAAGGGGAGGAGGGCAGGGGGTGGGGGTGACTGGGTGACGGGCACTGAGGGTGGCACTTGACAGGATGAGCACTGGGTGTTATTCTGTATGTTGGCAAATTGAACACCAATAAAAAATAAATTTATTATTAAAAAATCAAAAAAAATTAAAAATAAAAATAAATAAATAAAATGTGAGGCTGTGAGAATGTATCATTGGACATCATGATTAGATGAAAGTCTAAAGGATTAGGATGGCTAAGGATGATTCAATAAGGAAATTATATTTTTGGTTGCGATATGAAGAGTGAATGCTGTCACTGAGATAAACGGTGTTGAAGCCAAGGAGAAGCCCACACACCTGTTAACAGATTTAGAGAGTCCTGTGAATCTAACATGGTTTTAACGGCCTTTTTTGTACTGTTCAATATAATTTTTTTCCATCAGCAAAAGCCCCACCTTGAACCCCACCTCTGCAAAACCCATCCACTTAGTTTTGTATTTTTTTCATGGCATTATTCAGATATATTTTACATACCATAAGTTCACCCATCTAAATTATCCAGTTCAGTCGTCTTTAGAATATCCACAGTGTTGCGTGCCTGCACCAAAATCTAACTTAAGGTTAGATTAGTGCCTTAAGATAATTTCAGCTCTTCAAAGAGAAACTTCATTCACTCTAGCAGTCATGTGTTCCCCACCGCCACACACTCCATTCCTCCCCTCCCCCCAGGGCACCATTACTCTGCTTTCTCACTCAACAGATTTGCCTGTTCTGAACATTTTACATAAGTGGTATCATGCAATATGTGGTCTTTTATGACTGGATCCTTTCATTTAGCATCATGCTTTCAATGTTATCTGAATTGCAGCACGTTTTTATGGATAAGTTATACTCCTGCCTTTTCTTCATAGCTAAATAATATTCTGATGGATGGATATCCAGCTGCATCTTGGTTATCTATTCTTCACTTCATGGACATTCCAGTTATTTCCAGTTTTGAAGAGTATGCTATTAGTATTCAGGTACAAGTTTTTTTGTATATTTTTTAAATTTTTTATTGGAGTTTGACTTGCCAACATATAGTATAACACCCAGTGCTCATCCCATGAAGTGCCCCCCTCAGTGCTCAGGTACAAGTTTTTGTGTGAACATACGATTCCATTTGTTTTGGGTAGATATCCTAGCATGTGGTAGCTATACTTTGAACCCTGTGACAAACTGTCCAACCAAGTTCCAAAGTGGCTGCACCATTTTACATTCCAACCACCAACGTATAAGTGTTCCAAATTTTCCACATCGTTACAAGCACTTTTTACTGCCTGTCTTTTTTAACCGTTTTAACTAATGGGTATGAAGTAACATCTTATTTGTGGTTTTTGACTTGATTTTCCTGATGACTATGGTTGTTGAGCATCTTCTCATGTGATTATTAGTCATTTACATATCATCTTTGGAGGAATGGGTATTAACATATTTTGTCCATTTTTTCATTTTTTATTTACTTAACTAATCTCTACACCCCACATGGGGCTCAAACTCATGACCCCGATATCAAGAGTCATGTGCTCCAACTGAGCCAGCCAAGTACCCCCATTTTTAAACTGAATTATTTGTCTTTTGTTGTTGAGTTGTTTGATTTAGTTTTAACAACAGCGCAAAACAGATGTTCTCTTATGATCACAGATTGGTAATTAATGTATAAAAATCTTCAGTCTATTGTTGAAGGTATTACTGACACACAGTGACAGAATCTACTTTTGATCCAACATTCCAGTAAAGTAGAGAGTGAGCAAGGCACTTCAGAACAATGGGGAGTGTGAAAGGCCATTTCAGGACAACTAAAGTATAGGCTAAGAAGAATGTAAGCAAGAGGCACCTGGATGGTTCCATCAGTTAAGTATCTGCCTTAAGCTCAGGTCATGATCCCACGGTCATGAGATCAGTCCCCACATTGGGCCCACTGATTCCCTTGCTTGTGCTCTCTCTCTATCTCTGTCAGATGGATGAATAAATCTTTTTGAAAATATAAAAAAAAAGAAAATGTCTCTAAGGAAGCACTGATTAGAAACTTTGTAGATGAATTCTTTATATCGATTGTTATGAATATATTGAAAACACTAAATGTCTAAAACACTAAAGGAAGGGGCACCGTGTGGCTCAGTCAGTTAAGAATCCAACTCTAGATTTTGGCTCAGGTCATGATCTTGGGGTCATGGGATGGAGCCCCATGTTGGAATCCACACTAAGTATGATGCCTGCTTGGGAATCTTTGTTTCTCTCCCTCTGCCCACCGCCACTCATGCTTGCACACTCCCTATCTATCTGTGATTATTCTAAAAACACTAACTTGTACGCCTCTAAAGAGTCTATTTTATGGTGTGTGAAATACATGTCAATAAGAGTAAAAACACAAAACTGAGCGTTAAAGGTGAAGATAAGAGAGTACAAGTTCTACAGCTTGACTCTAGATTTGAATCCCACCTCTGCCACTTACTAGCCATGCACCTGGGGCATTTAATTAAACTATCTGTGGCTCATTTTATTCATCTGTAAAATGGGGCAAAGGACTGTACCGACTTCATAGTATTAGTGTAAGGACTAAGATAGTCACCACATACAGAAATGGTTGGAAAAATGCATGGCATAAAGGAGGTACCTCATAAATCTTAACTATAATATAATCTATTATATGATTATTTAAATCAACTCTACTTTTGAAATAAAAACACTGTAATATCCTGAAAGATTTGGACAAAGAGTAGATTCAATTTTTTTAACTGATGTCCTAAGCACTTCTTTCAGCTTCAGTTTTGCTATTCAAATGACAGAGCTTTAAAGACATTCTCCTTAACTCTTATCATTTTCCACTAAAAAGATTTCCTAAGAATTCTTACTTCCTATGCCTTCTCTCCATTATTCTCTGGCATAATAAAAAGTGCTACTTTGATTCCAGTGGTGGTCATGATCACGTAGAGAATCTGCATTTACCGGGTGAGTGTTCTATAGAGGTGAGGCCTGGATGCGGCAGAAATGGCCACAATTAAAGTCGGGACTCCGTATCCCACAGGGTACATGAGCTTCTTCATAAGCGTGCTCACACTGGAGTAGTTGACCACCATCAGGTTGCGTGCAGTGAGGAAGAGGTGTAGACCCTCCAGCAGCATCCAGGTGAAGGAGGCCAGGTAGAGATAGTGTAAGGCACCAGCGATGATGGAGCACAGCACCTGGGGGAGGAGAAAAGTGCCACCAGGAGGGATTTTTCAGAGAGGAGGTGGGCCCAGGACCTGTGCCATACCTTGCCATTGAAGTGAGTGCTCCTATATATGGTAGAGTTCTTAGCAGAAGGTTTGTCTTCTAGTTCATTAGTCAATGTGGAATAGGCTACTTACCCCCTCTAACCTCCCCAGAACCCAAGGCCATTTTATTAATGTACCAATATAGTATGGTACTGTGAACTGAGCAATCCTTGGGACGGGACAGGGTCTCCTCTGTGAACATGACACTACCTTGATCTCGGTCCGGTCAATGGCCATGAGGAAGAGCAGGTGGGCCAAGAAGAGGCAGATCGAGAGCTGCAGGTGGAGGGAGGTGCTGGTGTTCTGGATGGCTTTGCACAGCAGGAAGGTGAGGGCTGCCAGGAGGAGGCACAGCAGAGAGAGGCCCAGCCCCACATAGGTGATCACAGGCAACACAAGATCCTCTTCCTGGGACCCAGCCAAGAGAAGCAATGAAGACATTATACTTATATTTTCCCTATATGGGGGAATGACTCTTCCATCATTTTTAATTTTATTTATTGACAGAGCAACGTCAAGAATGGAGGAACCAGGTAAAATTGTTATGTTATTGAGAGTAGTTCCTTTGGGTTCAGAATGCTAGAACTCTATGGGATTCTGACGTGATTAATTCAGAGCCTACAAGAATAGAGGGATAGGAGGGTCCTCACTCAAGACAAAGCCCCAGAACTCACAACAGTTTATTTTACTTTACAGATCACCTAAGTAAGTCTTTGGTTATGGTAATCCAGAGGAAGTAACCAGCTTACCTAACCAGGGGAGCAGGCAAACATAGTTCCTAACCCACCTACACTCACTGGCATTCCTGGCCCCCTTGGACCTCTGCCACCACAAAATCATCCTTCTGCAGCCCCTGAGAGCCCTTGTCTACAGATTTCCAGCCCTAAAGACTCTAGTGATAAGCAGAACTCTAATTTGGCAATGAATGATAGAATGTGTACATACACTTTCTTCCAGATTTTCAGTCAATGCCAGATTGGGTCCTGTGGTGAAAGGATTTTGCAGGTGGAATTTGGGTCCTATGTCACTTGACTTTAGGGAGGCATTTTATCCTGGGAAGGATGGCCAAATCAGTGAGCCCTCAAAAACTCTGAGCTCTCCTGAAGAAAAAGACTCAAAGTATGAGAGCATTTGAGGTGAGGGAGCTTCTCCTCCTGGCTACAGGTTACAAATGCTAATACGCTGAAACAGAATACAGAACCCAAAAATGGATTCTCAACTCTATGGCCAACTGATTTTGACAAAACAGGAAACAATATCCAATGGAAAAAAATATTCTCTTCAACAAAATGTGTTGGGATACATGGACAGCCACATGGAGGAGAATGAAACTGGACCACTTTCTTACACCATATGCAAAAATAAACTCAAAAAGGATGAAAGACCTCAATGTGAGATAGGAATCCATCAATTCTAGAAAACAAAAGAAACAACCTCTTGGATCTTGCTGCAGCAACTTGTTGCTAGACAGTCTCCAAAGGCAAGAGGAAAAAAAATACCAAAAATGAACCTTTGGTACTTCATCAAAATAAAAAGCTTTTGCACAGCAAAGGAAACAGTCAACGAAATTAAAAGACAACCTACAGAATGGGAGAAGATATTTGCAAAAGACTTCTCAGATAGAGGGCTAATATCCAAAATCTATAATGAACATATCAAACTCCACACCTGAAAAACAAACAATCCAGTCAAGAAATGGGCAGAACACATGAACAGACATTTCTCCAAAGAAGACATATATGGCCAACAAGCACCTGAAAAAATGCTCCACATCACTCGCCATCAAGGAAATACAAATCAAAACCACAAGGAGATACCACCTCATGCCTGTCAGAATGGCTACAATTAACGACCCAGGAAACAACAGATGTTGACAAAGATGTGGAGAAGGGTGAACCCTCTTATACTATAGTGGTTATGGAAATGGGTGCAGCCACTTTCAAAAACAGTGTAGAGGTTCCTCAAAAGTTAAAGTTAGGAGGAGGGGCAAGATGGCGGAAGAGCAGGGTCCCCAAATCACCTGTCCTCACCAAATTACCTAGATAACCTTCAAATCATCCTGAAAATCTACGAATTCGGCCTGAGATTTAAAGAGAGACCAGCTGGAATGCTACAGTGAGAGGAGTTCGCGCTTCTATCAAGGTAGGAAGACGGGGAAAAGAAATAAAGAAACAAAAGGCCTCCGAGGGGGAGGGGCCCCGCGAGGAGCCGGGCTGAGGCCGGGGCGAGTGTCCCCAGGACAGGAGAGCCCCGTCCCGGAGGAGCAGGAGCTGCACCAACCTTCCCGGGCGGGCGGAAAGGGGCTCGCAGGGAGTTGGAGCAGGACCCAGGAGGGCGGGGATGCCCTCGGGCTCCCGGGGACACTAACAGACACCTGCGCCCCGGAGAGTGCGCCGAGCTCCCTAAGGGCTGCAGCGCGCACGGCGGGGCCGGAGCAGCTCGGAGGGGCTCGGGCGGCGGCTCCGCGGAGGGGGCTGCGCGGTTCCGGGAGCAGCTCGGAGGGGCTCGGGCGGCGGCTCCGCGGAGGGGGCTGCGCGGCTCCGGGAGCAGCTCGGAGGGGCTCGAGCGGCTCCGCAGAGCGGCGGCTGCGCGACCGGGAGCGCGAATCCCACAGCGCAGACCCGGAGCACAGGGCGCCGGGACACAGCCCAGGATCCGGCCTCCCCCCGGGACAGGCAGAGGCCGGGAGGGCCCAGGACAGCGAGGACGCTCCTGCCCCGAGCTGAGCAGATCAGCGGCCCCGCCCCGGAGCCTCCAGGCCCTGAGAACGGGACGAAGAGCCCCGTAGTTCCTGCGGGGGCTGAATCCAGGCTTCCAGAGTTGCCATAGCAACTGCGGCTGTTCCTCCTGGGGCCTCACGGGGTAAACAACCCCCGCTGAGCCCTGCAGCAGGCAGGGGCAGAGCAGCTCCCCCAAGTGCTAACACCTGAGAATCAGCACAGCAGGCCCCTCCCCCAGAAGACCAGCTGGACGGACCAGTGATACTCCCCCGTGTTCCAATACAACTTGTTTTTGGCCACTCCGCACTGAGCAAAATGACTAGAAGGACAACCTCACCTCAAAGAAAGAATCAGAAACAGTCCTCTCTCCCACAGAGTTACAAAATTTGGATTACAATTCAATGTCACAAAGCCAATTCAGAAGCACTATTACTACAGCTACTGGTGGCTCTAGAAAAAAGCATTAAGGACTCACGAGACTTCATGACTGCAGAATTTAGATCCAATCAGGCAGAAATTAAAAATCAGTTGAATGAGATGCAATCCAAACTAGAAGTCCTAACGACGAGGGTTAACGAGGTGGAAGAACGAGTGAGTGACATAGAAGACAAGTTAATGGCAAAGAGGGAAACTGAGGAAAAAAGAGACAGACAATTAAAAGACCATGAAGACAGATTAAGGGAAATAAACGACAGCCTAAGGAAGAAAAACCTATGTTTAATTGGGGTTCCCGAGGGCACCGAAAGGGACAGAGGGCCAGAATATGTATTTGAACAAATCCTAGCTGAAAACTTTCCCAATCAGGGAAGGAAAACAGGCATTCAGATCCAGGAAATAGAGAGATCCCCCCCTAAAATCAATAAAAACCGTTCAACACCTCGACATTTAATAGTGAAGCTTGCAAATTCCAAAGATAAAGAGAAGATCCTTAAAGCAGCAAGAGACAAGAAGTCCCTGACTTTCACGGGGAGGAATATTAGGGTAACAGAAGACCTCTCCACAGAACCGTGGCAGGCCAGAAAGGGCTGGCAGGATATATTCAGGGTCCTAAATGAGAAGAACATGCAACCAAGAATACTTTATCCAGCAAGGCTCTCATTCAGAATGGAAGGAGAGATAAAGAGCTTCCAAGACAGGCAGGAACTGAAAGAATATGTGACCTCCAAACCAGCTCTGCAAGAAATTTTAAGGGGGACTCTTAAAATTCCCCTTTAAGAAGTTCAGTGGAACAATCCACAAAAACAAGGACTAAATAGATATCATGATGACACTAAACTCATATCTCTCAGTAGTAACTCTGAACGTGAACGGGCTTAATGACCCCTTCAAAAGGCGCAGGGTGTCAGACTGGATAAAAAAGCAGGACCCATCTATTTGCTGTCTACAAGAGACTCATTTTAGACAGAAGGACACCTACAACCTGAAAATAAAAAGTTGGAGAACCATTTACCATTCAAATGGTTCTCGAAAGAAAGCAGGGGTAGCCATCCTTATATCAGATAAGCTAAAATTTCCCCGAAGACTGTAGTGAGAGATGAAGAGGGAAACTATATCATACTTGAAGGATCTATCCAACAAGAGGACTTAACAATCTTCAATATATAACCCCGAATGTGGGAGCTGCCAAATACTTAAACGAATTATTAACCAAAGTGAAGAAATACTTAGATGATAATACACTTATACTTGGTGACTTCAATCTAGCTCTTTCTATCCTTGATAGGTCTTCTAAGCACAACATCTCCAAAGAAACGAGAGCTTTAAATGATACACTGTACCAGATGGATTTCACAGATATCTACAGAACTTTACATCCAAACTCAACTGAATACACATTCTTCTCAAGTGCACATGGAACTTTCTCCAGAATAGACCACATACTGGGTCAAATCGGGTCTGAACCGATACCAAAAGATTGGGATCGTCCCCTGCATATTATCAGACCATAACGCCTTGAAATTAGAACTAAATCACAAGAAGAAGTTTGGAAGGACCTCAAACACGTGGAGGTTAAGGACCATCCTGCTAAAAGATAAAAGGGTCAACCAGGAAATTAAGGAAGAATTAAAAAGATTCATGGAAACTAATGAGAATGAAGATACAACTGTTCAAAATCTTTGGGATGCAGCAAAAGCAGTCCTGAGGGGGAAATACATTGCAATACAAGCATCCATTTAAAAACTGGAAAGTACTCAAATACAAAAGCTAACCTTACACTAAAGGAGCTAGAGAAAAAACAGCAAATCGACCCGACACCCAGCAGAAGAAGAGAGTTAATTAAAATTCTAGCAGACTCAACGAAATTGAGACCAGAAGAACTGTGGAACAGATTAATAGAACCAGGAGTTGGTTCTTTGAAAGAATTAATAAGATAGATAAACCATTAGCCAACCTTATTAAAAAGAAGAGAGAGAAGACTCAAATTAATAAAATCATGAATGAGAAAGGAGAGATCACTACCAACACCAAGGAAATACAAACAATTTTAAAAACATATTATGAACAGCTATACGCCAATAAATTAGGCAATCTAGAAGAAATGGACGCATTCCTGGAAAGCCACAAACTGCCAAAACTGGAACAGGAAGAAATAGAAAACCTGAACAGGCCAATAACCAGGGAGGAAATTGAAGCAGTCATCAAAAACCTCCCAAGACACAAGAGTCCAGGGCCAGATGGCTTCCCAGGAAAATTCTATCAAACGTTTAAAGAAGAAATCATACCTATTCTACTAAAGCTGTTTGGAAAGATAGAAAGAGATGGAGTACTTCCAAATTCATTCTATGAGGCCAGCATCACCTTAATTCCAAAACCAGACAAAGACCCCACCAAAAAGGAGAATTAAAGACCACTATCCCTGATGAACATGGATGCAAAAATTCTCAACAAGATACTAGCCAATAGGATCCAACAACACATTAAGAAAATTATTCACCATGACCAAGTAGGATTTATCCCCGGGACACAAGGCTGGTTCAACACTCGTAAAACAATCAATGTGATTCATCATATCAGCAAGAGAAAAACCAAGAACCATATGATCCTCTCATTAGATGCAGAGAAAGCATTTGACAAAATACAGCATCCATTCCTGATCAAAACTCTTCAGAGTGTAGGGATAGAGGGAACTTTCCTCGATATCTTAAAAGCCATCTACGAAAAGCCCACAGCAAATATCATTCTCATTGGGGAAGCACTGGGAGCCTTTCCCCTAAGATCAGGAACCAGACAGGGATGTCCACTCTCACCACTGCTATTCAACATAGTATTGGAAGTCCTAGCCTCAGCAATCAGACAACAAAAAGACATTAAAGGCATTCAAATGGGCAAAGAAGAAGTCAAACTCTCCCTCTTCGCCGATGACATGATACTCTACATAGAAAACCCAAAAGCCTCCACCCCAAGATTGCTAGAACTCATACAGCAATTTGGTAGCGTGGCAGGATACAAAATCAATGCCCAGAAATCAATGGCATTCCTATACACTAACAATGAGACTGAAGAAAGAGAAATTAAGGAGTCAATCCCATTTACAATTGCACCCAAAAGCATAAGATACCTAGGAATAAACCTAACCAAAGAAGTAAAGGATCTATACCCTAAAAACTATAGAACACTTCTGAAAGAAATTGAGGAAGACACAAAGAGATGGAAAAATATTCCATGCTCATGGATTGGCAGAATTAATATTGTGAAAATGTCAATGTTACCCAGGGCAATTTACACGTTCAATGCAATCCCTATCAAAATACCATGGACTTTCTTCAGAGACTTAGAACAAATTATTTTAAGATTTGTGTGGAATCAGAAAAGACCCCGAATAGCCAGGGGAATTTTAAAAAGGAAAACCATATCTGGGGGCATCACAATGCCAGATTTCAGGTTGTACTACAAAGCTGTGGTCATCAAGACAGTGTGGTACTGGCACAAAAACAGACACATAGATCAATGGAACAGAATAGAGAACCCAGAAATGGACCCTGAACTTTATGGTCAACTAATATTCGACAAAGGAGGAAAGACGATCCACTGGAAGAAAGACAGTCTCTTCAATAAATGGTGCTGGGAAAATTGGACATCCACATGCAGAAGAATGAAACTAGACCACTCTCTTGCACCATACACAAAGATAAACTCAAAATGGATGAAAGATTTAAATGTGAGACAAGACTCCATCAAAATCCTAGAGGAGAACACAGGCAACACCCTTTTTGAACTTGGCCACAGTAACTTCTTGCAAGATACATCCACGAAAGCAAAAGAAACAAAAGCAAAAATGAACTATTGGGACTTCATCAAGATAAGAAGCTTTTGCACAGCAAAGGATACAGTCAACAAAACTAAAAGACAACCTACAGAATGGGAGAAGATATTTGCAAATAACATATCAGATAAAGGGCTAGTTTCCAAAATCTATAAAGAACTTATTAAACTCAACAGCAAAGAAACAAACAATCCAATCATGAAATGGGCAAAAGACATGAAGAGAAATCTCACAGAGGAAGACATAGACATGGCCAACATGCACATGAGAAAATGCTCTGCATCACTTGCCATCAGGGAAATACAAATCAAAACCACAATGAGATACCACCTCACACCAGTGAGAATGGGGAAAATTAACAAGGCAGGAAACAACAAATGTTGGAGAGGATGCGGAGAAAAGGGAACCCTCTTACACTGTTGGTGGGAATGTGAACTGGTGCAGCCACTCTGGAAAACTGTGTGGAGGTTCCTCAAAGACTTAAAAATAGACCTGCCCTACGACCCAGCAATTGCACTGTTAGGGATTTACCCCAAAGATTCAGATGCAATGAAACGCCGGGACACCTGCACCCCGATGTTTCTAGCAGCCATGTCCACAATAGCCAAACTGTGGAAGGAGCCTCGGTGCCCATCGAAAGATGAATGGATAAAGAAGATGTGGTTTATGTATACAATGGAATATTCCTCAGCCATTAGAAACGACAAATACCCACCATTTGCTTCAACGTGGATGGAACTGGAGGGTATTATGCTGAGTGAAGTAAGTCAATCGGAGAAGGACAAACAGTGTATGTTCTCATTCATTTGGGGAATATGAATAATAGTGAAAGGGAATATAAGGGAAGGGAGAAGAAATGTGTGGGAGATATCAGAAAGGGAGACAGAACATAAAGACTCCTAACTCTGGGAAATGAACTAGGGGTGGTGGAAGGGGAGGAGGGCGGGGGGTGGGGGTGAATGGGTGACGGGCACGGAGGGGGACACTTGACAGGATGAGCACTGGGTGTTATTCTGTATGTTGGTAAACTGAACACCAATAAAAATTAATTTATTAAAAAAAAATAAAAAAGTAAAAGAAACGACAAATACCCACCATTTGCTTCAACGTGGATGGTACTGGAGGGTTTGTGCTGAGTGAAGTAAGTCAATCGGAGAAGGACAAACAGTGTATGTTCTCATTCATTTGGGGAATATGAATAATAGTGAAAGGGAATAGAAGGGAAGGGAGAAGAAATGTGTGGGAAATATCAGAAAAGGACACAGAACATAAAGACTCCTAACTCTGGGAAACGAACTAGGGGTGGCGGAAGGGGAGGAGGGCGGGGGGTGGGGGTGATTGGGTGACGGGCACTGAGGGGGACACTTGACGGGATGAGCACTGGGTGTTATTCTGTATGTTGGTAAATTGAACACCATAAAAATTAATTTATTAAAAAAAAGTTAAAAAAATTAAAAAATTAAAAAAAGTTAAAGTTATACTACCATCCAGCTATGGCACCTCTAGATATTATCAAAAGTATACAAAAATAATGATTCAAAGGGTCACATACACCCCAATGGTTATAGCAGTAATGGCCAAAATAGCCAGAATATGGAAAGAACCCAGATGTCCATCAACAGATAAATGGATAAGGAAGAGGAGGATTATATAAGCAATGTAATGTTTACCCAGCCATCAAAAAGAATGAAATTTTGTCATTTGCAACAACATAGAGGGAACTAGAGGGTATTAGGCTAAACAAAATAAGTCACTCAGAGAAAGATCAATACCATGTGATTTCACTAATATCTGGAATTTAAGATACAAAACAGATGAACATAGGCGAAGTGAAGGAAAAATAAAATAAGAGGAAAATAGGGAGGCAAACAGCAAGAGACTCAACTAAAGGAAACAAACAGGGTTGCTGGAGGGGAGATGTATAAGGGAATGGGGTAATTGAGTGATGGGCATTAAGGAGGGCACTTGATATAATGAGGACTAGGTGTTATATGCAGCTGATGAATCACTAAATTCTATCCCTGATCATGAAACGCCAGGAGACCTGCACCCCGATGTTTCTAGCAGCAATGTCCACAATAGCCAAACTGTGGAAGGAGCCTCGGTGTCCATCGAAAGATGAATGGATAAAGAAGATGTGGTTTATGTATACAATGGAATATTCCTCAGCCATTAGAAACGACAAATACCCACCATTTGCTTCAACGTGGATGGACCTGGAGGGTATATTGCTGAGCGAAGTAAGTCCATCGGAGAAGGACAAACACTGTATGTTCTCATTCATTAGTGGAATATGAATAATAGTGAAAGGGAATATAAGGGAAGGGAGAAGAAATGTGTGGGAAATATCAGAAAGGGACACAGAACATAAAGACTCCTAACTCTGGGAAACTAACTAGGGGTGGTGGAAAGGGAGGAGGGTGGGGGTGGGGATGAATGGGTGACGGGCACTGAGGGGAGCACTTGACGGGAGGAGCACTGGGTGTTATTCTGTATGTTGGTAAATTGAACACCAATAAAAAATAAATTTATCAAAAAAAGAAGATGTGGTTTATGTATACAATGGAATATTACTCAGCCATTAGAAATTACAAATACCCACCATTTGCTTCAACGTAATGGAACTGGAGGGTATTATGCTGAGTGAAGTAAGTCCATCAGAGAAGGACAAACATTATATGGTCTCATTCATTTGGGGAATATAAATAATAGTGAAAGGGAATAGAGGGGAAGGGAGAAAAAATGGGTAGGAGATATCAGAAAGGGAGACAGAACATAAAGACTCCTAACTCTGGGAAATGAACTAGGGGTGGTGGAAGGGGAGGAGGGCGGGGGGGTGGGGGTGACTGGGTGGCGGGCACTGAGGGGGGCACTTGACAGGATGAGCACTGGGTGTTATTCTGTATGTTGGCAAATTGAACACCAATAAAAAGTAAATTTATTATTAAAAATAAATAAATAAATACTATCAAAAAAATTCTATCCCTGAAACTGAAAATACAGTGAATTTTAACTAAATTCAATATAAATAAAATTTTTTAAAAAAGAAGAAATGCCGATACACTCTAAGAGCCCATGAGAGAAGGAATGCAGGTAGCCCCTAGTTGCTAGGCATGATCTCGTGCTCAGAGATTGCTAGAAAGTGGAACCCCAGCCCTACAACTGCAAGGAACTGAAACCTACCAGTAACTAGGGAGCTCAAGGAGGAATCTGAGCCTTAGAGGAGAATGCAGCTCTGGCTTATTTCAGGCTTATAAGACCTTGAACAGCAACTGAGCCACACCATGCCTGACTGCTGCTCTGAAGAAACCACAAGATATAAATTTCTATTTTTCTAAACCCCTACATGGAGGAAATATGTTACAAAGCAATAGACAAGGGATGCAGTCCCTCTCAGGGCTCTCACCTGCACATCATAGTGGGCCATGAGGACGGCAAAGCTGCTGAGGTGAGTGCACTGGCAGGTGGTGCTGGTGTCTCCACTGTCCACCATTGTGCAGCCTCTGGTGGACCAATGACCACATTCATCTTGAGTGTGCTCCCAGAAGACACAGAACACCTTTAGTTTTGGCTCGTGGGTCGCTGACTGTAGGAAGAGCATAGGTGGGAGCCAGTGGTTCTGGTGCTCAGAAATGCTTATCCAAAGCTGGCTAGCAAAGGGCTTTCCTGGGGGAATGATGCACTCATGGGGGACCTCCCTGCAGAACCTCAAGGGTGAGCTAGGCAGCGAAGCTGTGCCCAGGACCCAGGCTCCTTCCAGGCTCCTTCCACATCCACAGCCCCATGCACCAGCACTCACATGGTGAGAGAAGATGAAAGTGACAGGGGAGCTGAGCTTCTGGGTGACCTTGTTGCTCATAAACGCAGAGATGACGTCTGAGAGCAGGACAGGGGAGACTCCCTGCGGCAAGCCTTTGGGTGCCCCATGCAGAACTGCCTGCTTCTCAGGCTCCAGGACCAGGGAAGCCTCCGCCAGCAACTTGCCCATTCCTGGAGTAGAGAGGAGGCCCACCACAGAAGGACCTGCAGGACAAGACCATGTTGAAACCTTGGGGTGCACAACAGAGCCCTGTCCTCCTCAGATGCACTCTTTGTGGCCTACTAAACATCCCCTTTCGCTTTATCATTCAGTTCCCTGCCTGTCACATCCTGGGGCAACTTGTGACCTTCCTCCCATCTCAGCCATTACCTGAGTCACCAGATTTGTGCACCACATCCCATTTCAGCATCATCTTTGCCAGATTCTGACTCAAAGTGACATTTCTGTATCCTTCCTCCTGCACCTCCAGGGACAAGTCTATGAGTGGTAGGAGTTATATAAGAGAAGTAGGTTAGTAATTCTGCCTATAGTAGCTGCTATAATATCATTATTTTATATGTGTGTTTCCATACACACAAACACACGAAAACACACACACTGAATTTATAAAGGTTTATGCGAAAATACTATGAGCAACTGGACACCAACAAACGGATGAAAGTGAAAAATTCCTAGAGACATACAAACTACAAAATAATAGAAAATAATAAGATGGCGGAAGAGTAGGGTCCCCAAGTCACATGTCCCCAACAAATTACCTAGATAACCTTCAAATCATCCTGAAAATCTACGAATTCGGCCTGAGATTTAAAGAGAGACCAGCTGGAATGCTACAGTAAGGAGAGTTCGAGCTTCTATCAAGGTAGGAAGCCGGGGGGAAAAAAGAAAGAAACAAAAGGCGTCCAAGGGGGAGGGGCCCCGCGAGGAGCCGGGCTGAGGCCGGGGCGAGTGTCCCCAGGACAGGAGAGCCCCGTCCCGGAGAAGCAGGAGCTGCACCAACCTTCCCGGGCGGAAAGGGGCTCGCAGGGAGTTGGAGCAGGACCCAGGAGGGCGGGGATGCCCTCGGGCACCCGGGGACACTAACAGACACCTGCGAGCGCAGGAGAGTGCGCCGAGCTCCCTAAGGGCTGCAGCGCACGGCGGGACCAACCGGAGCAGCTCGGAGGGGCTCGGGCGGCGGCTCCAGGGAGGGGGCTGCGGGGCGGGAGCGCGAATCCCACAGCGCAGGCCCCGGAGCACAGGGCGCCGGGACACAGCCCAGGATCCGGCCTCCCCCCGGGACAGGCAGAGGCCGGGAGGGCCCAGGACAGCAAGGACGCTCCTGCCCCGAGCTGAGCAGATCAGCGGCCCCGCCCCGGAGCCCCCAGGCCCTGCAGACGGAGAGCTCTGGAGTTCCTGCGGAGGCTGAATCCAGGGCTGCAGAGCTGGCCCCGCCACTGGGGCTGTTCCTCCTGGGGCCTCACGGGGTAAACAACCTGGACTGAGCCCGGCAGCAGGCAGGGGCAGAGCAGCTCCCCCAAGTGCTAACACCTGAAAATCAGCACAACAGGCCCCTCCCCCAGAAGACCAGCTGGACGGACCAGTTCCAGGGGAAGTCAAGGGACTTAAAGTCTACAGAATCAGAAGATACTCCCCCGTGTTTTTTGGTTTTTTGTTTTTTCCTTTTTGCTTTTTGTTTGTTTTTTTTTTTGTTTTGCTTTTTGATTTGTTTGCTTTCCCCACCCTTTTTTTTTCCTTTTTCTTCCCTTTTTCTTCTCTTTTGTTCTTTTTTCCCCCTTTTTTCTTTTTCTCTTTTCTTTCCTTCTTTCTCTCCTCTCTTTTTCTCCTTTTCCCAATACAACTTGTTTTTGGCCACTCTGCACTGAGCAAAATGACTAGAAGGAAAACCTCACCTCAAAAGAAAGAATCAGAAACAGCCCTCTCTCCCACAGAGTTACAAAATCTGGATTACAATTCAATGTCAGAAAGCCAATTCAGAAGCACTATTATACAGCTACTGGTGGCTCGAGAAAAAAGCATAAAGGACTCAAGGGACTCATGACTGCAGAACTGAGATCTAATCAGGCAGAAATTAAAAATCAGTTGAATGAGATGCAATCCAAACTAGAAGTCCTAACGACGAGGGTTAACGAGGTGGAAGAACGAGTGAGTGACATAGAAGACAAGTTGATGGCAAAGAGGGAAACTGAGGAAAAAAGAGAAAAACAATTAAAAGACCATGAGGATACATTAAGAGAGATAAACAACAGCTTGAGGAAGAAAAACCTTCGTTTAATTGGGGTTCCCAAGGGCAACGAAAGGGACAGAGGGCCAGAATATGTATTTGAACAAATCATAGCTGAAAACTTTCCCAATCAGGGAAGGAAAACAGGCATTCAGATCCAGGAAATAGAGAGATCGCCCCCTAAAATCAATAAAAACCGTTCAACACCTCGACATTTAATAGTGAAGCTTGCAAATTCCAAAGATAAAGAGAAGATCCTCAAAGCAGCAAGAGACAAGAAATCCCTGACTTTTATGGGGAGGAATATTAGGGTAACAGCAGACCTCTCCACAGAGACCTGGCAGGCCAGAAAGGACTGGCAGGATATATTCAGGGTCCTAAATGAGAAGAACATGCAACCAAGAATACTTTATCCAGCAAGGCTCTCATTCAGAATGGAAGGAGAGATAAAGAGCTTCCAAGACAGGCAGGAACTGAAAGAATATGTGACCTCCAAACCAGCTCTGCAAGAAATTTTGAGGGGGACTCTTAAAATCCCCCTTTAAGAATATAAATATAGTGAAAGGGAATAGAAGGGAAGGGAGAAGAAATGGGTAGGAAATATCAGAAAGGGAGTCAGAACATAAAGACCCCTAACTCGGGGAAACGAACTAGGGGTCGTGGAAGGGGAGGAGAGTGGGGGGTGGGGGTGACTGGATGGCGGGCACTGAAGGAAGCACTTGACGGGATGAGCCCTGGGTGTTATTCTGTATGTTGGCAAATTGAACTTCAATAAAAAATAAATTTATTACTAAAAAAAATAAAAATAAGCAGTCAAAACAATAAATAAATAAAAGGATGTGGTTTATGTATACAATGGAATATTACTCAGCCATTAGAATCGACAAATACCCACCATTTGCTTCAACGTGGATGGAACTGAAGGGTATTATGCCGAGTGAAATAAGTCAATCGGAGAAGGACAAACCATTATATGGTCTCATTTATTGGGGGAATATAAATAATAGTGAAAGGGAATAGAGGGGAGGGAGAAGAAATGGGTAGGAAATATCATAAAGGGAGACAGAACATGGAAGACTCCTAACTCTGGGAAACAAAATAGGGGTGGTGGAATGGGAGGAGGGTGTGGGGTATGGGTGACTGGGTGGCACTTGACGGGATGAGCACTGGGTGTTATTCTGTATGTTGGCAAATTGAACACCAATTAAAAATAAAATATTATTTAAAAAAAAAACAGTCAACAAAACTAAAAGACAACCTACAGAATGGGATAAGATATTTGCAAATGACCTATCAGATAAAGGACTAGTATCCAAGATCTATAAAGAACTTATTAAACTCAACAGCAAAGAAACAAACAATCCAATCATGAAATGGGCAAAAGACATGAACAGAAATCTCACAGAGGAAGACATAGACACGGCCAACAAGCACATGAGAAAATGCTCTGCATCACTGGCCATCAGGGAAATACAAATCAAAACCACAATGAGATTCCACCTCATACCAGTGGGAATGGGGAAATTAACAAGGCAGGAAACCTCAAATGTTGGAGAGGATGTGGAGAAAGGGGAACCCTCCTGCACTGTTGGTGGGAATGTGAACTGGTGCAGCCACTCTGGAAAAATGTGTGGAGGTTCCTCAAAAGAGTTAAAAATAGACCTGCCCTATGACCCAGCAATTGCACTGTTGGGGATTTACCCCAAAGATACAGATGCAGTGAAACGGCAGGACACCTGCACCCCGATGTTTATATCAGCAATGTCCACAATAGCCAAACTGTGGAAGGAGCCTCGGTGTCCATCGAAAGATGAATGGATAAAGAAGATGTGGTTTATGTATACAATGGAATATTACTCAGCCATTAGAAATGACAAATACCCACCATTTGCTTTGATGTGGATGGAACTGGAGGGTATTATGCTGAGTGAAGTAAGTCAATCGGAGAAGGACAAACATTATATGGTCTCATTCATTTGGGGAATATAAAAAATGGTGAAAGGGAGTAAAGGGAAAGGAGAGACAATGAGTGAAAATATCAGTGAGGGTGACAAAACATGAGAGACACCTGACTCTGGGAAATTAACAAGGAGTAGTGGAAGGGGAAGTGGGTGGGGGGTTGAGGTGACTGGGTGATGGGCACTGAGGTGGGCACTTGGCGGGATGAGCACTGGGTGTCATGCTATATGTTGGCAAATTGAACTCCAATAAAAAAATTTTTCAAAAAAGAAAATAAATTCCACTCCTATGTATGTATGTAAAGAGCTGAGAACAGTTACTCAAACAAAAACTTGTCCACCAATATTCATAGTAACACTATTCAAAATCGTGAAATGTTGGCAACTACCCAAAGGTCAGTCAGCAGACGAATGGATTCACAAAAGGTGCTCTATTCACAATGATAGAATATTATTCAACTGTAAAAAGGAAAGAAATACTGCCAAATGCTACAACATGGATTCACCTTGAAACCATGATGCTGTGTGAAAGAAGCCAAACTATAAAGTAACTTATTACAAGATTCTATAGATATGAAATGTCCAGAATAGGCAAATCTGCAGACACAGAAAACAGCCTGGTGGCTGCCAGGGGCTGGTGACAGAGAGATGAGAAATGACTGTGTAATGGGTACACTGATTACTTTGGGGTGATGAATATATTCTAGAAATGGAGGTGATAGTTGTACAATTCTGTGAGTGTACAAGTGCCACTGAACTGTATCTTTTGTTCAAAATGTTGAATTTTATGATACATGAGTTTTACCTGAATAAAATAAATCATACTTAGTTATCAGATAATATCAATTTTTTTCTTAAAAATTTAGCAAATTGTCTTCTCATGAAGATGTTTCTATTTTATCTTAAATTCTTTATAATTATATCATCTGCTGATAACTTATATTACAATAAAAATGTGTAATATTTGGTTTTATTCATTTAATCTCTTACTGACTGGTTTATGGATGTAACACTGAGGGATACATATATATTCACTCCCTCCAGTGAATTCGGGGGACAAATGAGGTGGGGAACAGACAGAGCAGGAGCCTGGGGCAGACTCCAGAATTTACCTGTGCGTGCAGATGCATTGAAGGTCCATGGCCCATTGGGCAGGGCCTGGCTTACATTTCTGAGGACACCTTCCAGGCCAACAAGCAGGTTAGTGGCCACACAATGCTGCTCTGAGTGGGGAAGGGCCACCAGATCCCCAGGAATCTCCAGCAGCTCATCTACCTCCTGTATTAGGTCCTAGAGGAATGAGGACACAGAGCTAGTGAGTCATGAAGACCCTGCCCACACAACCCCAGAAACAGACCCTGGAGACTCATTGGTAGATAAAGGTGTTACTGATTCAGAGTCCCTGGGTCTTTGCCTCTACAATCCAGCCACACATAGTCAACCCTTTTTCACAAATACCAAGAATGAAATTAGCCCAATGTCCACAAACAGCAGGAAGAAAAGTCATTTATGGGCTCAGGTGGGTGTTAACAACCAATGTTGTTACCAATGTACCAATGTCTGCATGTCTGCTCTTCCCATCCACCCTGGGAGAAACAGGGCCTCAGAGAGGCGACATTATGTTGGGGCTTCCTGCTCCCAGGCCTCTATGGGATGCCTCCACCTTGCCCCTCCTGGGGTGTGCCCTTACCTGGATGGTTTCCTGAGCCAAGGCTGGCTTGAAGTCTCTGTGCAGCTCTTGGACTCTTTCAAAGAAATTAGAGAGTCTCTAGAATAGAGATGAGAGAGGTCAGAGATCCTCACATGTGGATGTGGGAGCTTGGGGAAAATGGGTGGACCAGGCAGGCTGCACAGAGGGATGCCTGCCTCCTGGTCCCTGCTGGGGCCACTCACCTGGCTCTTGATTCCAGGGGGTGGGGTCCAGTTGGGGAAGGATATCTCTGCAGGGGCTAGAACAGATTTTCATTACTTGTAAGAGTGTCTGTATCTGTGTCACCACAATGCTTATAGCAGCAATGTCCACAATAGCCAAAATGTGGAAAGAGCCTCGGTGTCCATTGAAAGATGAATGGATAAAGAAGATGTGTATATATACATTTGAATATTACTCATCCATTAGAAATGACAAATACCCACCATTTGCTTCGACATGGATGGAACTGGAGGGTATTATGTTGAGTGAAATAAGTCAATAGGAGAAGGACAAACATTATATGGTCTCATTCATACGGGGAATATAAAAAACAGTGAAAGGGATCAAAGGGGAAAGGAGAAAAATGAGTGGGAAATATCAGAAAGGGAGACAGAACATGAGAGACTCTTAACTCTGGGAAATGAACAAGGGGTAGTGGAAGGGGAGGTGGGCATGGGGTTGGGGTGACTAGGTGACGGGCACTGAGGAGGCACTTGATGGGATGAGCACTGGGTGTCATACCATATGTTGGCAAATCAAACTTCAATTAAAAAATATACAAGAAAAGGGATCCCTGGGTGGCGCAGCGGTTTGGCGCCTGCCTTTGGCCTAGGGCGTGATCCTGGAGACCCGGGATCGAATCCCACATCAGGCTCCCAGTGCATGGAGCCTGCTTCTCCCTCTGCCTGTGTCTCTCCCTCCCCCTCTCTCTCTCTCTCTCTCTCTCTGACTATCATAAATAAATAAAAAAATTAAAAAAATATACAAGAAAAAAGAGTGTGTCTGGGGATCCCTGGGTGGCTCAGAGGTTTAGCGCCTGCCTTTGGCCCAGGGCACGATATCATGGGATCCTGGGATCAAGCCCTGCGTCGGGCTCCCTGCATGGAGCCTGCTTCTCCCTCTGCCTGTGTCTCTGCCTCTCTCTCTCTCTCTCTCTCTCTCTCTCATAAATAAATAAATCTTAAAAAAAAAAGAGTGTGTCTGTGTCGGGGTGGATTCTGGGGTCAGGTGAGACCAGGTACCTTCACAGGTGGTGTTCAGTTGCTTATCCTGGAATCCAGGTTTGGGCTTCCAGCCCTGGTGGCAGCGGCACTTGTAGGAGCCCACAGTGTTGATGCAGAAGGTGGAGTGATGGCATGTATGCTTCCCGGAGCTGCACTCGTCCACATCTGGGGGCACAAAGATGGGAATCAGAACACCTTTCCTCTCCATGCCCTGCTCCTGTTTCCTGTGTTAGTGTCTCCCATTGATGGGAGGTGATATCACCTGCTGACCCCACATCCTGGTGATGCAGGGCTTATGGGAAGTGTGCGGAAGCCTGACACCTAGCATGTGATCCCTGTACTGATGTGCAGGTTGTGAATATAGAAATACCTTTGCCCCAGTTAGTAATTAGCTGCTGCCTGGGGTCTCCAAGGAGCCTGCTCCTTGGTACCCCAGCTCCTTCCCCGGGAAACCCCAGATCTTTTACCATGCAGTCTCAAAGGAATTAATGCCTGGTAGGGCAGGACACCCCCAGGGTTCATGCTGCTTGGTTTGTGTGGATGTCACTGAATATGTGATCAGATGTTCTGAGTGTGGGTCTCCAGGATGTGGCGTCTGAGCTCTGGACCTTCACAGACGGTGCTGTTTGGGCCATTGGGGGATCCAGGAACCGGCTTCCATCCCGGGCGGCAGCGGCATTCATAGCCACCGATGTGGTTGAGGCAGTGGGTGGAGTTGTGGCATGGGTTCTGCCCCGAGGTACATTCATTCACATCTGAGGACAAAACCAGATGGTCAGAGTCTCCTCCCCTCGCTGGCCATCCTTCCTTCCCTACTCTCAGACTCCTTAGCTCTTTACATCAAGAATACCACACACACACACACACACACACACACACACACCATGTACCAGCCACCTAGCCTGTCAATATAAATGTAATGATAGCATTTTCCTCTGTAAAAACTGCATAATTTCCCTGCAAAGTGGACAGGGGAGAACCAGGAATATGTGTCATTCCAGACAAAGCTAAGTCTCTTCACATATGGTGGGGATTGTGGGGGTGGATAAAGGGGGGAGGCTGTGATGGGCCTCTAACCAGGGAGGTTGTGACACTGAGATGCCCTTGTGTTGACTGATGGGGGCTCGGGAATGGCACAAATGCTATCCCAAGCTGCATCCCTGTCCTTATTAGAACATATCCCAGAGGGTCAGCCCTGCCCTACCCAGGCCAGGTTTCCTGTCTCCTCACTGCCTGCACTGAGCACGCACCATTCCTGAAAGTATGGCTGCCTCTCCACTGCCAAACCTCCTCATGGAATCTTCCTTCAAGATGAGCTCAGCAGGGACACTATCCCCCATTTTCAGGCAATAACTATGGCAAAGAGGGAAACAGAGTCATGGGAACTGGACCTCCCAATCAAGGCTCTTACTCATTTCCTCCTCAGCTCAAAATTGAGGCTCTCTTCTCAGAGATATAGAGATACTTCCTGCTTGAGTGTTACAGATGAACAGGGGCAAGTGGGGGACCCAGATAGCTTCTGGAACCTCCACAATGGAACCCCAGGCCTGAAAGGCCCTGCTGCCTCCCTGCTCTGTGGTGGTATCTTCTGGGGAGGTGAATCCTTGGGCAGATCAAACCCCCAGTGTTTCTGGAAACTGAGGGTCTTCTCTCTCCGCCTGGGGCTGCGGGATCTTCCTCGGCCTCTCCCCAACTCCAGCACAGCCTCACAGCATCTTCCAGGGCCTCTACCTGTGCACAGATTCAGGTCGCCCAGATTGAGCTCAAAGCCAGGCGGGCACTTGCAGGTATAGCTGCCTTTGGTGTTGGTGCAGATGCCGCGGCTTTTACACAGTCTGGGTTTCAGCTGACATTCATCCACATCTTCAGGAGAAAGGAGAGGGTGATGGATGCCTACACCTGTTTTCTGGGATAGAAAAATCTGGAAGCCCCTGCTTTCTCAACTTCAATGAGTGTGTGCTTTTTCTAATTTACACAGAGGCATCCTATGGGCCAGTATGGTGGCCCTGATGTTCTGTTGTCCAGATGTGGCAGGAATCAGCCTAAGTCCTCCCTGTCTGCCAGTTCTGGTTCCCTTGGCCTCTCATGGCAGCTCCCAGCTGAGGCAGGGACCTCATGGCCATCTAGTCCCATTTTGAGGACTTAGACAAGTCCAGGGTGGGCCTTCCTCAGAACCAAGTGCAGGGCAAATGCTGTGTTCCCCAAGCAGAACTATCTGAGATCCCAGCGATGGTTTTTTCCTAATTTTCCAGGGCAACTTCTTGCTGCCTAACTTCCCCTTGGAATCCTGGTGACCCAGCAAGACAGCCCTCCCTCATCCACTATGTCTCTGAGACTCCAGCTCTGTAGAAATGGACCAAGACCAAACCTGGGCCAGCCTCCTCAGAAGAAAACTTTCTACAGAGGAAGGGAGAATAAAGATGATGCCAGACAGTCCAGGGCCACCTAGACAGTGGGCACCAAGCTGAGGTGGACAAGGAGGTTATGTTCAGCCAAGTGACCTTCAGGTGATGAAGGTGACTTTTTCTGATTCCCAAGAAGACCTTCCCTGACTGGCAGGAAGTGGTGAGAATCCACACCTGAGTAAGACCAGCACTAAGCAGGGGATGAGTAGCTGGAATGGGGTCATGTGCTGATAGTGAGGGGTGGAAGATGTTTCTGTCTTCTTGGCCCTGTGTCTCTACAAAGGACATGGACCTGTGGGCCCTACAAATGGGCTCAGCCTTCATCTTCTGTCCCCAACTGGTCTGAGTCATCCTGGGACTTGTGTTGACCCCCTTGGAAGACCATCAGTCTGGGGCAGTGGTCCCCAATATGACCTCTCTTGCCATTTGGTCCAGATGGCAGCCTCTTCCATTCACTTGAATCTCTGAGTATTGAGGGCTGGTCCACATGACCCTACCCACCACCAACACAACAACATCCCAGATGCTGATCATATTTGCCACAGTTCAGTGAATTGAAATTATTAGGGACAGTCAGACAGAACCTTGCATGGGGTAATAGATAGAGGCCAAGCATGAAAAGCCATGTCAATATGCCAGGAAGCCTCTTCTCCAGATGGAGTTGTTGGCCAGGAGCAGGGCCAGCAGGGGACAACGGGCATTGCCTCAAATATCCCTCCTCCCATGTTTCTGGACAGTATCCCTGATCCTTCAGGGCCCAGGGGTATGACAGGGCTCCCAGTGTGGCCAAGCCCATGTGGACTACAGTGGGGGCAGGACTCATCATGGCAGTCATTGATGATGGTGAACAAGATGGATATTGTGTTGGAACACACATGCTTCCAATTGTGAAGTATCTTGATGCCATCTCTCTCTTTTGCTTTATGAAAATAAAGCTTATTTTGCTTATTTTATGAAAATAAGATGCCAACTAGATATTTTTTCAAAGGACACAAAACTGATTCAAAGAGATTCATGCACCCCAGTATTTATAGCAGTATTACGAACAATAGCCAGACTATAGTAAGAGCCCAAATGTCCATCAGCTAATGATTGATCAAGGAAGATGTGGTGTACATACCCAATAGAATATTACTCAGCCATCAAAAATAATGAAATCTTGCCATTAACAATGATGTGGATGGAGCTACAACATATTATGCTAAGTGAAATATATCAATCAGAGAAAAACAAATATTATATGATGGCCCTCATATATGGAATTTTAGAAACAAAACAGATGAGTAGCAGTGGAGGGAGGCAAACCAGGAAATTAGACTCTTAACTATAGAAAATAAACTGCTGGTTACCAGACAGGAGGTGAGTGGGCGATGGGCTAAGTAGGTGATGGGGACAAAGGAGGGAACTTGTCCTGATGAGCAGGGGATGTTGTATGGAGGTGATGAATCACTAAATTCTATACCTGAAACTATTATACTATATGTTAACTAACTGGAATTTAAATAAAATTTGAAAATAGAAGATCCCTGGATGACTCAGTGGTTTGGCTCCTGCCTTCGGCCAGGGGAGTGATCCTGGAGTCCCAGGATTGAGTCCCATATCAGGCTCCTAGCATGGGGCCTGCTTCTCCCTCTGCCTGTGTCTCTGCCTCTGTGTGTGTGTGTGTGTGTGTGTGTGTGTGTCTCATGAATAGATAAATAAATAAAGTCTTTAAAAAATAAATAAATAAATAAAATTTGAAAATAAATAGATAAAAGAAGAGAAAAGAAAAAAAAAAAAGAAAATGCCAGGTGGGCATGGAGGATATTCCAAAATTACAGAAGTGACTCTCTGCAGAGGGTTCTGAGTCTTGGAGTTTGGAAAAAACATTATGCCGAGTAGATGTCCAGAGTGTTCTCTGAGCCTGGAGAAAGTGGGGTGAGTGATCCTAAACCTCATGGATGCAGAGATAGAAGATGTAGGGAGGTTCCTACCTCGACATGTGTTCTCACTCTCATTCATGAACGTCGTTGCCCCAGAAGCAAGTGCGTATCCCGGGCTGCACATGCAGTGGTAGCTCCCCTCTGTGTTCTGACAGTCTGCTAACCGTCCACAGGACACCAACGGGGGTGGTCCACACTCATCAATGTCTGGAACACAACAGGGGAAAGGGTCACCTCCCAAAGGTGTGAGTTCCTGCAGGGCAGAGGCCTGACCTCCAGCCTGACTCTGCCAACAGGACTGGAGAGAACTCAGCCTGCAGGTGGCATTCCTGGAGCAGGTCTGAGCTGGAGCCAGCTGCTCTAGAAAGCCTGCTACCTGCTCTGCTCATCTCTACTCTCTGGTTGGATCTGAGGGCACCTAGATTCAGATACTCTGTTGTTTTAGAATGGGAGCTACGAGGAGGTCTGCATCCCCTTCTGCAGGCCTTGTGAGGTGGACGAAAGCACTATAATCTGTTTACACTATTGTGGATGTGGAGTTGGGCTCCAGTCAGGGTGACAGTGGCACTGAAGCCCACTCTCGATGCTAAGTCAGTGAAAGGAGTCATCGACTGTTAAAACTTACCATTCACACCTGAAGATAAAGCCAGGTGGTCAGGCCCCTGCCCATTGATAGTTTCCACCTCCAATTACTCATGGTGACCTTAGTACACCTCAGAGTACTCATCACCTGCTCCCCCAAGCTCTCAACATCAGACATTTTCAAGAAGCCTGAGGATGTTTCTGGAGGAGACTTGCTACCTCCAACCCTGGAGGAAGTTCCTCTTATCAGAGCCGATCACAGATATGAAATGAGGAAGCAGCATGCAGTTCTCACAGCTGAGTCACTGCAGGCATTTCTGGAATCTTATCTCTGTCTGTTCTCTAAACATGAGAGCAAAGATTCCCTCCAGCAAGGTTTTCTTTGAGTAGCTTCAGGACCCACAGAGCTGGGGCTACACATCACTGGCTAAAAATAACTGTTCAATAAGAATCTACAAGACAGGAATGTATCAAAATGCAGAGACAGAATGTTTCTTCTGTACATTCCAATCAGGAAACCAAAGACTTTCAGAGCCTGAAAGGACTCATGGCATCACACTGAGTCAGGGCAGGCAACTTGTCTCCTCCAGAGCAGTTTCCCACCAGAACTCCTAGACTTCCCTTCTAAGGTCCCAGGTCCAGGCTTGGGTGTCAGCACCAGGACATGACAGGATGTGGGAAGACACACCTGACACATTCATGTTCACCCCCACCTGGTGGATGGGACTGACCTCTTCTCTCAGATGGTGGCAATGGCTGGACACCTGCCTTCAATTTTGTTGGGTGGGGCGGGGTGGGAGACAGGTGAGAATGAGGTGTGCAGAAGGGGAAGACACAATGATGAGAAATCCTCAACCTGACAGGTGTGCTCCCAGAAAGGACCTGGGATCCAATCACACCAGCCATGTCTCCTTGCCATGCTCACCCAGCCAAGAGTTTCCACAAGATACACATGCAAATACATGGGGGATCTGTAGGGATACCTCTACAACATGGAGGGGCATGGCGAAAGTAACATCACCTTTTTTTCCATGATAAAATTTACTTTCCCCCAAATATCAAATGACACACGGGTATTTAGAAGAACAAAGAAAAAGTAAAATAAGAATGAAAGCTAAGAAAATCACCCATAAGTACACTACACAGACTACTGGGAAATTTTAAGAGTATTTTTTTCTTTTCTAACATTAGGAATACTTTCCTTTGTTATATGAAAATATCCATCTAACACAATTTTAATTAATGAAATTGGTGTAAAAACACTATAATTTCATTTTTCCTTATTTTTAGTGTAAAATTCACATAACACAAAATTAACCACCTTAATTATTTTTAAGTAATATAATCTCCTTTTGTAACCCTGTCTGGGTGAAGAATAAAATCTATTTTCAAACCAGACCTAGGTTCTTCCACCTAGTCACTCAATCTCTTTGAGTCCAAATTTGATCATTTAAAAAACCATGTAGCTCTGCTTGCTTCATGGGATTGCTGTGACAAGTCAGGTGGGAAAACATAATGGTAAGAGGCCTGGTGTTCCTGGTGAGCTCACATTAGGATGAGAGCCTGAGCTTCCAGGTCCTAGGTGTTTCTTTCCTTCTGTTGCTTCGACTACTCTCTCCTTTCCTTGTGCTATGAGAATTATCACAGTAATAACAGCAGTGACTATGATAATAACTTGTATTTGACACTCTGCTCTGTAGTAGTCTCTTTCTGTTCTTCACACACATAAATTTTAAATCTCACTCCATTCGTCGAGGGTAGGTACAAAGATTATCTCCAATTTACAGACAAGCAACATGAGGCATAGAGTAGAACACCTTCCTCCCAATACCTCCCGCCACCATCTCCATGCCCCTCCACCACCCAAGTCACAAGTTGTACCATCACAACTCTCCAAGGGGCTGCTGAAGACCTCCCCAGACAAAGTACTGAATCCTGGAGAGCAGCGACAAGTGGTGGCATTGACACATGTGGATTTCGGAGGGCACCAGCGAGCACAGCCTGTGGGGGCAAAGGGTGTGGGGACAGAGACCACAGTCAGAAAGCTCAAGAAATGGAGGAAGCCTGCTGCCAGCTGGGTGTCCAGGAGCAGAAGAGGGGAAGTGGAGGAAGAAGAGAGGGATAGCTGCCATTGGAAGAGGAAAAAGAAAGCTCTGGACATCTAGGGAGGTAGAGCAGTTTCTCCAGGGGACCAGAGCCTTACCTCAAGAATATTCCCCCACTTCCCCTCTTATTGGTGGCAGGACCAAGGCCCCAGCATGCACTCCCCAGCTTATGTCATCAGAGGGGCTGGCTGGGCAGACTCACCGCTAGGTTTCTGGGCTGCAGCTCCCAATGGCAACAGCAGCAGCATCAAGAGTCCTGGGGCAAAAACAAAAAACAGAGATGTGACAGAGAGAAGAGATGGAGCTCCAGTTTCAACCCTTATCCTCATGGCCATTGCATCATGGGTGGTGGCTCTGATGCTGCAGTCCATGGCTCTCCCAAAGCTCTTGTCATTTATGAAGATTGTAAAAGCAGTCCTCTTCTCTCCCTCCCCCTGGACTCCTCAAGGAGTCAGTCACTAACAGACACTGTCCTCTGGAGCCTCGGTGCTACAGGAAAGGGGAAAAATTATGTGCAGACAGCTGATGTGTGGGACATACCTTAGAAATGCCAACCTCTCCCAATGGAGGGAGCCCAGGAATCATGAGAAGGGGAGCTAATGACAGGGGAGGGGTAGAGAACTATTGCACTGACAGGTCAAGACACCATCTCTTGGTTAAGTGGACTCTCCAGGTGGAGCACCCATGGCTTCTATGGTTCTTTCCTAGTGAGCTCCTAGCCCTCCTACAGCACACTGAGGACACAGCCCTTCCCTTTCTCTCCCAGGCTGGTCCTGAGCAGCCTGAGCACCGGACAGGCCTCGTGGTATGAAAATCTTTGCAGGTGGGAAGGAATCTACCCCACAGGCAATCATCACCCGGCCACCTGTTAGAATCTGTCATTCCATTCATGGGAGGCATGATGTTGCTGTGAAGGTGGGTTTTTTAAATAAGAGGAACACTGAAGTCAGTAGACTCTGAGTCAAGTGGATTACCCTCCATCATGTGGGTGGGCCTCACCCACTCAGTTACAGACCTTAGGAGAAAAAAAGACTGACCTCCTCCAAAGAAGAGAGAATTCTGCTTCCAGACTGACTTCAGACTCGAGATCCAACATCAGTGTCCCTGAAAACATGCCTGGGTTTCCAGCCTGTCCTACAGATTTTGGACTTTCCAACTTTAACAATCTCATAAACCAATTTCTTAAACTAACACATTCTCTCTCTACACGCACACATATACATATATATCTACACACAAATTTACACCTCTATTCATATGCGTACATATACAGGTATACATACACAGAAACTTGGTTCTGTTTCTTTGGAGAACCTGGTCTAAAACAGGCCATACAATGAGAAAGCTCTGATAAGTCCCCAAGCATGCCTAGAAAAAAATTTTCACCCACTTTCTCTTGTAAAAACTTAATAGAACTGACTTAATACCTTTCTTAAAATTCCTCCCTGTTCTCCCTTAAAGAGGTAGTGAGAAAACCAGAAATAGAGCAAAAACCAGAAATAAAGCAAAGAACAGAAAAAGTATTAAACTAGATAGAGTTCCCGGGTAGCTTTAGTTGTCTATCATGATTGCAGATAATCTGCCTACCTGGCAGCAACCTTGGATGCCCATGTCTCATAGTGCAGACACCAGTGAGCCCAGCCACAGAGGATGCCATCTGGTCTTGGTCCGTGTGTGCTAAAAACACTTCCTGTTTTAAGTCTGACTTAAAACATACTTCATCATTGGTTGAATATAGATGAGCTGACTTAGTAAACTGCTGGTCTGGATGCTTCTTTCCCCAAGAAGAATATCTCTGACACTCACATATCCCTTTTTAAGTATTTTCTTAATATTACTAGTATTCCTACTAAAGCCTCTTGGTTAATTTTACTATCTTTGTGAAATAGGAAGACCTCTCAAACACGGAGACTCAATCCCCTGGTGTCTTGGCCCCTACGAGGTCTGTGGTTCAGAGTGAACAGATTGTTTTTATCTATGTATTATCTATTCACAGACATCTTTATGTTTAAGTCTTTATTTGGAAATAAATGTAAGTTGACAGGAAGTTTCAAAAACAATAAACAGAAATCCTTCACCTGACTTCCTGCAAAAGATAATATTTTATGTGTTTATGTATTTTTTTGAAGGGTAAAACTTTTTTAATTTAAAAAAAATATTAAATTCCGGCTAGTTAACATACAATATAATATTAGTTTGAGGAGTAAAATATAGTGATTCAGCGCTTACATATAATTCACAAGTGCACTCCTTCATCCCCAACACCTATTTCACTCTCCCTCCAGCCACGCACTCATCTTTCTTCTGGTAACACTCAGTTTGTTCTCTATAGTTAAGACTCTGTTCCTTAGTTTGTTCCCTGCCCCTTACCCCCTCCTTGCTCATTTGCTTTGTTTCTTTTTTTTTCAATAATAAATTTATTTTTTATTGGTGTTCAATTTGCCAACATACAGAATAACACCCAGTGCTCATCCCATCAAGTGCCCCCCTCAGTGCCCGTCACCCATTCACCCCCACCCCCCGCCCTCCTCCCTTCCACCTCCCCTAGTTCATTTCCCAGAGTTAGAAGTCTTTATGTTCTGTCTCCCTTTCTGATATTTCCTACCCATTTCTTCTCCCTTCCCTTCTATTCCCTTTCACTATTATTTATATCCCCCAAATGATTTGTTTTGTTTCTTAAATTCCACTTATCAGTGAAATCATGTGGTATTTGTCTTTCTCAGACTGACTTATTTTGCTTAGCATAAGACTTCCTAGCTCCATCCATGTCACTGCAAATGGCAAGATTTCATTCTTTTTGATGGCTAATATTCCATTGTATGTATATTCCACCTCTTCTTTACCAATTCACTTGGATACTTGGGCTGTTTTCATAATTTGGCTATTGTAGATAATGCTGCTACAAATATCAGGGTTCACATACCCCTTTGAATTAGTATTTTTGTATTCTTTTGGTAAATGGTCCTGCAATTGCTGGATTGTACAGTAGTTCTATTTTTAACTTTTTGAGGAACCTCTATACTGCCTCCCAGAGTGGCGGCACCACTTTGTATTCCCACCAACAGTTAACAAGATAGGAAATAACAAATGTTGGAGAGGATGTAGAGAAAGGGGAACCCTCTTGCACCGTTGATGGTAATGTGAACTGGTGCAGCCACTCTGGAAAACAGTGTGGAGGTTCCTCAAAGAGTTAAAAATAGAGCTACCCTATGACCTAGCAATTGCACTACTGGGGATTTACCCCAAATATACAGATGCAGTGAAAAACTGGGACACCTGCTCCCCAATGTTTATAGCAGCAATGTCCACAATAGCCTGTCTGTCGAAAGATGAATGGATAAATAAGATGTGGTCTATATGTACAATGGAATATTACTCAGCTACTAAACATGATGAATACCCACCATTTCCTTCAATGTGGATGGAACTGGAGGGTATTATGCTGAGTGAAGTAAGTCAATTGGAAAAGGACAATCATCATATGGTTTCACTCATACAGGGAATATAAAAAATAGTGAAAGGGATTATAAGGGAAAGGAGGGGAACTGAGTGGGAAATTTTAGAGAGAGAGACAAACCATGAGAGACTCCTAACTCTGGGAAATGAACAAAGGGTACTGGAAGGGGAGGTGGGTGGGGGGATGGGGTGACAGGGTGATGGACACTGAGGGGAGCACTTGACAGGATGAGCACTGGGTGTTATACTATATGTTGGCAAATCAAAGTTCAATAAAAAATATATATCAAAAAATACAAAATAAAAAATGGATAGAAGCAATGTCCACAATAGCCAAACTGTGGAAGGAGCCACAGTGTCCATCGAAAGATGAATGGATAAAAAAGATGTGGTCTATGTATACAATGGAATATTCCTCAGCCATTAGAAATGACAAATACCCACCATTTGCTTCAACGTGGATGGAACTGGAGGGTATTATGCTGAGTGAAATGAGTCAATTGGAGAAGGACAAACATATGTTCTCATTCATTTGGGGAATATAAATAATAGTGAAAGGGAATAGAAGGGAAGGGAGAAGAAATGTGTGGGAAATATCAGAAAGGGAGACAGAACATAAAGACTTCTAACTCTGGGAAACGAACTAGGGGTGGTGGAAGGGGAGGATGGCGGGGGTGGGGATGAATGGGTGGCGGGCACTGAGGGGGACACTTGACGGGATGAGCACTGGGTGTTTTCGGTATGTTGGTAAATTGAACACCAATAAAAAATTAATTTATTAAAAAAAAGGAAATATCAGAAAGGGAGACAGAACATAAAGACTCCTACCTCTGGGAAACGAACTAGGGGTGGTGAAAGGGGAGGATGGCGGGGGGTGGGGGTGACTGGGTGACGGGCACTGAGGGGGGCACTTGATGGGATGAGCACTGGGTGTTATTCTGTATGTTGGCGAATTGAACACCAATAAAAAATAAATTTGTTATTAAAAAATAAAAGTAAAAATAAATAAATAAATGAATGAATGAATGAATGAATGAATAAATAAATAAATAAATAAATACAAAGAAAACATAGATGGCCAATAGACACATGAAAAGATGCTCAATGTCACCAATCATCAAGGAAATACAAATCAAAACTACAATAAGATATCACTTCACACCAGTCAGAATGGCTAAAATCAACAACACAAGAAATAACAGGCATTGGCAAAGATACAGCAAAAGTGTGTTTATGTATTTTTAAAAGATTTTATTTATTTCTTCATGTTAGACACAGAGAGAGGCAGAGACAGAGGCAAAGGGAGAAACAGGCTCTGTGAAGAGAGTCTGATGCAGTACTCGATCCCAGGACTGCAGGATCACACCCTCATCCAAAGGCAGACTCAACCACTGAGCCACCCAGGCATCCCTACTTTTTTCTTTCCTTAGCATTACCAGCAACTGTACAGTCAGACCATTTGGTGGTGCTTCAGATTTCCTATTGATGAGGGAGCAAAGATATAAGAACGGCCCCCACAAGGAAGCTTCCTGACTAGCTTATGAAAGGGTTCCTACAACTCTGTGAGATGAGCATCAATCTACCACTCGTTCAACAAGAAAACATGCGTGATATCCCAAAACCAGGAATGAGCAAGACCAAGAAACACATTCTGGGTTCTTTACTGGCAAAGCCTATGCTCTTTCTACTAAGTCGCTCTTTTTTTTTTTAATTTTTTATTTAAATTCAACTTAGTTAATATGATAGCATTAGTTTCAGAGGTAGAATTCAGTGATTCATCAGTTGCATACTACACTGAGTGTTCATCACATCACATGCCCTCCTTATTGTCCATCACCCAGGTACCCCATCGCCCCACCCACCTCTCCTCCAGGAACTTTCAGTTTTTTTCTCTAGAATTGAGAGTCTCATGATTTCCTACACTCTCTGTTTTCCTCTTATTTTATTTTTCTTTCCCTTGCTCTATGTTCATCTGTTTTATTTCTTAAATTCCACATATGACTGAAATCATATAATCACTCTCTTGTGTAACCAGAGAGGGTGCAGAGACAATGACTTGGATGGAGAGCCTCACTGGATGCCTGGCAACACATAGGAGAAGAATTCGAGGAGGGAGCATCTCCTAAATCTACAAATACAGCCTCAGACTGACTCAGATGCCTGGTAGTAAATTTTCCACCAATTCTAGGCACCACACTGTCTGCACTCCTCGGGAGACTGCTGGGTGTTAGCAACTTTCAGAGGCCACAGCTTTGACTCCATGTTGATGAAAGGAAGCAGCCCACACACAATCCTGAAGCCTGCTGGTATTTCCAGTATGAATTCACAGACTCAGCAAGCATGCCAAGGACTTATTTTCTGCCCAAGGCAGTGCTGGGTTTAAAAGCAGTCACACCAAACAAGCTCCAGCATGATCTTTGCTTTCAGGAAACTTACAGAAAAGAGGAAGGTGATGTCTTAAGTGATCAGTTCCAAAAAGACATGCGATTTAGGAAAGAACCCAGTTTCTGGCTTCCGCCTTGGATGTAGAAAACTGCCAGGCATTGCTGCCACCAAAGCAACAAGAAAAGGCTGAATAATCAACAAAAACATAATTTCCTTGAACCCATCAGAGAGCTGAGGTCACAGGCAAACCACTAGCCAGAAATCTAGAAGAGAAATGGACAAGAGCACTGGCTCACCTGTAGCATGGGATGAATACAGTGCCACCAGACAAGAGGGGAGATTTCTGCTAGAAGTTTTAACAGATTGCTAAAGACAAAGGTGGGCTGGTGTGAGGGTGGAGAATTTGGGAGCATTGGACACAAGGACTTCTCACCCACCTCTCTTCTGGGACCATCATCAGGCAGTCAGGAGGAAGGTTGGGGATAGGGACAGAGATTGGGGAAGCTCTCCTCCTCAACCAGATCCACAAGTTCATGGTCTGTCTCCCAAGTTACCACCACATTTTTGCCAATGGTTCTTATACCATGTAACCACATAGGCTTTTTCTAATGCCTGGCACCGGGTCTCTCACCATGTTTCCAGCTGAAATTTCTTCACCTCTCTACAGCTGCTTTCTTGCTGCCAAATTCCAAAGTCAACTCCACATTTTAAGTTTTTGTTACAGCAGCATCCTATTTCTGATACTAACTTCTGTGTCCATTACATTATGTGCTCATAATTCTGTGAAATTCAATCTAGGCTGAACTCAGCTGGGCA